GGACCCCCCCGAGACCCAGCCCCGGGGGAGTTGGCCCAACCAGCGGGCTGCCTGGCGACCCTGGCCAACCAACCGGATTACTCCAAATCTAATCCCGTCTGGGTGCTGCTTGTGTGACTGTACACTTCCCCCATCCCAGCGCTCGTCTGCCTGGGAAAACCAGGAGGGCATTTCTCCCCTTTCCTGCTGGGCTCAAGTCCCCGCTTTGCAAGAGAGGGCGGACGAGGACGAGGGTGTCTGGCCAGAGCTGTGCATCCTGCTCACTCGTGTTTCTGTGGCCCTATCACACCAGGAAAAGTATGTTAAGTTGCTTTGTCTGCTGCCCCTGGCAGGCTTCCCTTTAATGCAAACTCCCCATTGCACACTGCCCGGCTCTCCGAGGCGAGAGGGAGACACAGACCGACCGGCCTGCGGCATGGAGGGGCTCCGAGGGGCTTTAGCCAAACCATACTCAGCACTAGGTGTTCCAGGGCTTTTGGGTCTGTGGAGACCTGCAAGCTCCTGATTCTAACCCGCTGCTGCCCCACCTCCCAGGGTCTAAAACCAAACCCTCCTCCAGTTTGCATGCACAGAGAAGAGGAATGGCCTGGCTCGGCTGTGACTGTCCGCTGAGCCGGGGCCGGAGGCTGGGGGAGTGAGGTGCTGGGGGGTTGTACCCAGGAAGGCAGCTCACCAGTTCTTTGAAGAAGGCAGCCTCCTTGTGCTGTTCCGAGTAGCGCTCGTACTGATCCAGCCCGTCCTGCAGCTTCAGGGTTAGCGTGTCGTAGTTAGAGCGGACAACCTCCAAGACCTGCAGATGGCATCAGAACGAGAATGGGGAGTCAGTGCCCAGGGACCCAGGCCTGGAGCCAAAGGGGGTGGAAGAAATGCAGTTCTGGCTCCTGCTTTAGCCACACACACAAGGGGGCAGACACGGGGAAATCCCTGACCCTACGGCTAAGGAGCAGACTCAAGAGTTAGGGGACTTCCCCACTTGTGAAAAAACACAAGACAGTGGAATTCCTGCTAGTGGGTCGCACACAGCCCTGCATACTGCAGCCTTCAGGCCAGCTACCGTAGCTACTTTTCCTAATGACCACGAGCTCATGAACTTAAGGGGTTGGGCACCCTGGATAAATCCGGACAAAACTACAGGCACTGTGCAAACTTGCCTCTCTCAGCTCTGCCCCCAGCCATTCCAGTTCAGGGCTCCCCACATCCTGCACTGCCAAGGCACCTCGATCCCGACGCTCAGCCCCCACTATCCTCGTCCCACAGATTCTCCCTGCACCAGGCTCAATCTGCCTTCCACTCCAGGCGTGCTGCGTGTCACATTGCACGACTCTTTTGTGCTGGAGACACACGTCTGATAGGCGCTGGGATAAGAGCAAGGCCGTTGTGGGGGTTAACGTGCTGGCCTTTACACTCGAGAGCTACCTTTTATCACACCCCCTTTGCCGCCGCTTGGCCACCCCATCATTAGCTATTTGCATTCCCATAACACCCAGGAGCCCCAGTCACGGCCCAGGCCCCCCGTCGCGCTAGGAGCTGTACAGACACAGAACAAGACGATGCTACCTGCCCCAAGGAGCTTACAGCAGTTTACATTTCAACTCTCCCGTCTCTCCTTCTGACACACAACTAAACCTCCCACAGGCTCATGACAGCCCTCTCGACATCTGCACGATTCATTTCTCTAGCCACGGAGTAGCCCCCTCACTTCCTCACTCACTGCTCTCTCTGCAAAGCGCAGCGCGGATGCTAGGAATCCCCCTCAGGAAGATAGTTAAATAGCGATCGTTCCCACCGCACCGATAATCGCCTAGCAAGGGACACGGCCTTTGTGCTACTGGGCAAAACGTTCACAAGACAATTCTCTCTGAAAAACATCCGAGGCCTTCGCAGGCTGCTGGCTTATCTGATCTCGCTGCTGAGCGGGGTCAGAGCTTCATTACTGACACTGTGTGCCAGGATCGGGGGCCTGTTGTGCTGGGAGCGATACAGACATCTTGCCCCGTAGAGCTGCCGGCCTATGAAGAGAAGGGCCAGGAAAGGTTGGGAGAAGGGATCAAACCTACAAGTAGAGCCCTGCACGGATACAAAACATGTATCCGCATCTGATCTGATCTAACGTGGTCTGCGGATAACGGCAGATTTGCACCTACATGTCCAGCGGCCGGGGAGGCGAGATGCACTTCGCTCAATCCTTTGTCTGTCGGACTATACACAAGACAGCCCCTTTACCCAGCTAGCAGCCTTTCCCCCGGCCGTCTGAATGGCCACTGTGCCCTTCAGTTTTTGCTTACTTAGAGTTCTTTAGTGCTTTTATCCCCTGCTTGTTTCCCCCTAGACTTTATACGTGGCGCTAAGATACTCCGATAGGGGCATTCGGCACGTACACTTCCTAGTGGCACTGGACCAAACCCTCAAGTCCTTACTCATTCAACGAGCCGTAGACGTCAGTGAGCGCCTAGCCGGAAAGCTGGCTAGGATGCAGCTCACGGGTTAGCGGCCATGCCTGGGGCCTAAGACTGAGTCACAGACGGCCGGAGGAAAGGGGAAGGATAAACGATGGTGTTCTGCAAGGCCACTTCAGAACAGTTTGTCAGTGTCCGCTCACCGTTCGGCCAATTCAAATGGCCTCGTCTCTTAACCCTGTGTCGGGTTTCCTGGCAGAGGGACAGAATCCCCCAGTCAGAACAACTCTCAACCAGTGAATCAGACCCTTTCGTGCACATGTGCGGAGGCTGTGGACACAACAACGAGCATTTCTGAGCCAAGAGTTCCGGTGAGTGGAGCAGGCCTCGGAGGAGGAATACTTGACCTTGGGAGTGTAGTAGACACCGGTAGCAGCACAATACTCCTTTCTCCAAGCAACGAAAGAGAGCGTCCCTGAATCCACGAGCTGTCCTCTAGCCAATCTGAGGAGCTCAAGCCACCCAAGACTGACAACGGACAGAAGCCAGACTCCACCCAACAGGCAGAGTGGGACTGCTGGAGACGCACACTCGAGGGCTGGGCATTTCACATGTGCACTAAGTTTCCACTGGTTTCCTTGGGCTCCTCTTTGATTTTGCTTTGTGCGCTTGTGCCCAGGCTGGGGGTGAGCACGTGCATGCAGACACAGCGGGGACAGGAGTGTTTCGCACGTGCATTGTGCACACACAATGGCTGGCTAGCTTTGAGTTGAGTTCTCTTCATCACATTCAACCCAGTGGCCTCCTTGAACAGCCAAGAGACAGTAACCCTAACCTCTGCAGCTGGCCAGATAAGTGCTGCACAGCCGCGACTTGGGCAATCCGCTTACATCGCATATGACAAACAGGCAAAGAACGCAGCTTGCTGCTCAAATGGGAGTACGGGAGGGATCAGAAGGCGCTGCAGATAAGCCCATCAGTCCCTGCTGTATTACAAATGCATGATCACATCTTTGCACTGCAGTGAGCTTCAGAATCAGATCATCTCTTATTTAAATATTTGAGTTTGCCAGCTTTCCCCGGCACTCTCCTTTTAATTAGCAGCTCAAACTTCGAAAGAGGGGTGCAGTTAAAAATAAACCTCTCCATCTCCTGCTAATTTCCCTCGCTCGCTGCCGATGGAAGAAAACCTTTCGTGGGCTGTCTCAGAGAGAAACCCACTTACAGATGGCTTCCCTTCATAACCTGTAAGGGAAGGGAATTGTTAGCAAGATTACTGCTTGCCAGTAATGCACTAAGAGGCGGCTGAGAGACAGGGCCCTGGGGAAGGGTTAAAGGAAGGACAGGTATTAAAGGTATCAAAGAGGAAGGTTTGAAAGACAGCAGGGAAACCTTTCTACAGTGTCTTTAGGCGCCGTTAAGATGCACCTCCCCTGCCTCACCCGCTTCCTGCTACCTACTCGCATGGCTGGGAGGGGAATAAACCCTCTTTGCTCTGGATCCCCGAGGGCGTGTCATGCTGCATCCCTGGTTTCTCTCTTGGCACATTCCCTGGGCACTGACTCTCCATCTGTTCCGTCTTCTCGGAAGTGGGGCTCTTCAGCCCACCTGCCGTAGGCTTCCAGGACCAGCACTGACCCCAAGACACCCCAGCGACTCAAACACGTCCTTCCCGCAACAGATGTGAAGCATTTGGTTTACTGGTTAGTGCGCTCTGGGGCAGGCAGGGCTGCGAGGCAGTCATCACGCACACACGGCGCACAGTCTAACACCTTTCTGCTCTTTCATACTCCATCACGTACAGCACAGAGCACAGAGCACAATGCACATCTGGCGCACGTCCCTGCCTCCCTTCCTGCATCACTCCAGGGAGTTCTCTGGGCTGGGCTCCAAGTCCCTGGGGTTGTCCAGAGTCCTTGGAGCCATGTGGGCTCAGCAAAGTGGGCAGGAGCGCACTGCCATGAGGCTGCCCATGAGGCCCCTCATCCAGCTTCTGTGACCCTGCTGTCTCCCGACCCCACGCTTCCCTTTTCTTGTCTGGCCCCCATTCCTGTGTTTCTTTAAACCCCTCCCGGTCATGTGGCTGCTTTTGTTCGACTCCTGCTAAGTTTCCACTGCTCCTACTGGCCCCCACCCTTCAGAGGAATCGGCTAAAGTGGTTTTCTAAGGATGCTGCTCATCCAGCGTCCCAGATGTTTGCACCTGGATAGGGTCATTAAATCCCAAGCCCCTTCTAGTGTATCTGTCTGGTGCATACCTACAAGACTCCTCAGAGGGGAGGGTCCACGGCTATGTAGGCACTCACGACACAGCAAATTTTCATACCAGAACTTCCCGTTATCCATCGGAATCCACAGCGTGGACAGATCCAGCCCCAACTCATCACCCCCTGCACAGCACAAGCCTGTGTCCGGGGAACGCCACTGGCGCATCCTGCCGGCAGCCTTCACAGAGTGCTGCTCAAGGAAACCACCGCAGAACCACCCTCTTCGCCTTAAGGGCGCCCAGCAAAAGGGGAAAACTTGAGTTGGGGCCTTTCCTGCCTCTTTCGGTTGGCTCCGGAAGGGCTCTTTTTCTTATATTCTCTCTCCTTGGTTTTGTACATTAGCCATTCAGGACCTGTCTGACCTGGTCTTCCTGGAAGTCGGGATGGAGGCTGGAGAAGTGGTAGGAGGAGAACATTACACAGACCTTGCAAGTGAAACCTGAACAATGGAGAGGGGATGGGCTCTGTAGCTGGGTTCAGCAGCTCTTGAATTACACATCTGCAGTGTCGAGTAAGAGCTGAGAAAGCTCCCACTCGAGATCTTCGGTCTCCAACGAGACAGACCCTCAGCAAGGAACAGAACCGACAAGACCTGATATGGCTCAGATTGCCGAGGTAAAAATATAGACAGAACTTAAATCTTTTTTAGCCTTCCTTGCTCTTTAGGCAGGAGAAGGCCGAGGAAAAGGCAGGACAAATCCAGGCTTTCAGCTTTGTTCATCACCATTAAAGGGATGAAAGGCTCAGCGTGCTGGAGGCAGCCCGCAGGAGAAATACAGACCCGGTCCTGTACACGGAAAACCAGCGCCAGGCCCCTGAACTCGCTGGAGCTGTGCCAGCCTGATGGAGGGGACAACTTGCCGTCAGAGTTAGCTCTCTGTCCCACCTCTCGCTCAGACGCTGCTTTACGGAGATCCCAGAGCAGCATTCACGTTTCAGCCCACTCTGTACTTGTGTGTGCATGTGTGTGCACATGAAACGACCAAAATGTTGGCTCTCTTTACTCTGGTAGCATCACAGATCCTAACCTCTTAGCCGACTGGCTAAGCAGCAGTTCTGCAGAAAAGGACCTGGGGATTACAGTGGACAAGAAGCTGGATATGAGTCAGCAGTGTGCCCTTGTTGCCA